TTTCTTTTTCTTTTTATAACCACATCTCTTGAGAACTCACCAGGGTCCTATGAGAACCCTTCCCCTCTAAATCCCTTCCAGGTTAGTGCTTCTAATGACCTAATGACTTCAGTCTAGGCCTAACCTCTTAAAGCTCCTCCCGTTTCTTACCATCACCATACTATCAGGAGCAGTTAGGTATTGACTTGGTCTGAGATGCAGGTAGATTCAATCAAATCTATTTTATTAATGCTCATGGCACTTAACTGAGTGAGTCCTGGGGTGTATACTCTTATATCACTAACTTAAGTCTATCTAAGTTCTGCAGTTTATCTAAATTTTGCAGTTCACATTACATCATAGGCATATATATTGCTTATAGTCTTTTATCCAACACACACTATCAACAGTCAAAAATCCTATAATATTTCTGGTACTCATACCACATACTGAGGACCAAGCTTCTAACACATAAATCTTCATAGAACACACCATAGTACCCACCCATAGGTTAAGCCAGTGCAAAAAATGAATCAAGTGCTTTGGTATACACTAGACCCATACTGAATACTTTCTATTGTGTTGAAGGATTTCTTGAGGGAAGGGGATCCTTCCTTGCTAGTAGTGATGTAGGACAGATGAGCCTGGACACCTGAGGAATTAGTAGGAAGCAGGTTTATTAGATGCAGCCATCCAGAGTGAGGTTTGCACCTAAAGATTTCTATGGACCCCAAGTCTGGAAATTCTTGGAACTTTATACCCAGTCATGGGGGGGTACACATGACTTGGAGGTTTACATTTTTGCAGGAGTCTACATAAAAGTATATATGTGTGTATATATATATATATATTTTTTTTTTTTTTTTTGAGTTCACAAAAAGTGCTTTTAATCCCATTTTTCAGATTAGTCAGAGGTTTTACAAGTTTTACCTCAAAAGTAGAAAAAAAAAAAAAGTCACATCTGTGGCCAGACTACAAGACAGAGCAAATTAGTCCTCACAAAAAATAGTAAGTCCTAACCACACTGAGTTTTATTTTGCAGAAATTTTTGCTGATATTCTGTTAATAAGAACAATTATGGTGAGGGTCTCTGGAGAAGCTTAATTAAGACTCCTTGGTGGAAGTGGGGTGCCACTAGAGAGGACTCCAGGAACCCCTAGTTAAAAGATAAAGGCCAAGACTGTCAGTTGATTTGCATTTAATCATTTTACTTTGGGAAGAAAAATATATGTAGTCCCTCTGACTCAGTCTCCAAAGTGCAGTGTGGTTATCTGTAAAGAGATCTATACATTGGAGTTTCTGGAAGTACTTGATTAGCAAGTTGAGGAGAGCAGGAGCTGCCTGGGGAGTTGAATCAATGTGGATCAGTATTGTACACATTCAAAAACACTCGGATTCTGTTTATCCAACTCTTTATTCTGAAAAGTTTCTGTTCTCTAGAAAAACTGGAGATTACACAATGAACATTCACATATCCATTACCTAGATTCATCAATTTTAAATATTTTGCTACATTTGCTTTCTTTCCAAATGAAATACAATATTTCTGAGACATTTGAAAGCAAATTGTAGTCATCAGGATTCTGATTTAGAAGCACCTCTTAAAAACACAGATATTTTTATTAGTCATAACAAAACTGAATGATTTTGTAATATTCTTCAGTATATACAAAGTTCCCCAATTATCTTTCAAATCTCTTAGCTCCACCCCCCCAACCCAGAGCTAGATCAAAGTTCAACTAATGGATTAGTTGTGGTCTCCTTTTTCTGGATTAATTCCCTAGCTTTTTGTATTTTTTTTTTTCTGGTAATGAAGGCGGAATTTTGAGATGATCTGATTCCTTGCTTTCCTCTGGGTTGAAGACTAAAATTCATGGACAATCAGAAGGGAAGAGTAAATGGTATGGGATTTAGTTAAGCAAGAAGATATAGAACTCCCGCCATGTGGGAGGGGGCCTGATAGCAGAAAAACCATTTTGGTGTGTTTAGGAGTTTATACGTGGTTCTGGGCTGAGCATGGAGTGAAAGCAATGTAAAATAGGTATTGAGAAAGGCATCCACGCTATCTTTCACTTTCACTTCCAACCTTTCTTCCCTCTGGGTTCACACTCACCTTCTGTGCAAAAGGAATTGGCTGAAGGTGTTCCCACAGGTGAGTCTCAAGGTCCTTTATGTTTGAAATAGGCCTTGATGGTGCTCATGAATATGTCTAGCCTCCAGGTGTGTTTGAATGGGGCCCATTATCCTGACTGCCTGGTTATTTTACTCTTTGTACAAGGTTTTTTTGAGAAGCTCATTGTAATTGTTTTAGTGTTCCTCAGTTTGGATTTGTCTGTTGTTTACCACCCATTTTGATTAGATTTATTTAAAACACCCTTTGGCAGGTATATATGTGATATCAAAGCCCAGTGTGAAGCTGGAGATTATGGCCCATGTCTGTAATCCTAGGGACTTAGAAGGCTGAAGCAGAAGCAGGATAGGAAGTTGGAGGCCAACTTCAGCAAATTCAGTGAGACGGTATGTGAAAGTAAGAAAATACGGTTGGGAATTTAGCTTAGTGGCCAAGTGTTCCTGTGTTCCATTCATATTAAAAAAAAGAAAGAAAGAAAAAAAGAAAGGAGGGGAAGTAGCCCAGCTGTGAAGTACCCTTGGGTTCATTCCCCAGTGTGGAGAAAAACAAAACTAAACAACCCAATAGGGACATTCAGAGCTCTGGAGTGTGGCCCTTTCGGATGTCTCTGGCCCATGCAATCTTGAAGGCTCCCAATGTTACCATCACAACAGACGAAAGTTAAAGCAGTGTTTGGGAGTGAGGAAAGAAAATTGGGCAATACATTTGAATCTGGAGATAGTTTTTGTTAGGGGTGGGGAAGCATCTGCTATTTGCATCTAGTGAAGAGAGACCAAGAATGCTGCCAAATGTCCTACAATGCATAGGACAATCCTAAAAAAGGAATTATCCAGCCCCGAATGTCGATGTACTGTGGTGGAAAACCCAGGGGTTTTGCCAACAACATCTATCCTTTTTGGTTCCTGTCATGCTCTGCTATGAAATATCAAATACACAAATGAAAGCTAATCATTTCTCAATACTCACCAACTGGTTATATCTCTGTATTGAAATTAGCCCTCCAGTTGGCCTGTGAACATCGTGTACCTGCCAAGTATGTCATCCGAGACCAGCACTTTAATTTATTTGAGCAGGCATATATCAATCTTTTTTTTGAAAAAAAAAAAAAGGTGCCATCAAAATCCGAAAGAGCATTGCTAACTGACAATTGTGCTGCAGTTTACAGTGTACAAAGTGCTTTCCAATAACATGTCCTGTAATTTGAGCTGACAACAATTTGGGAGGCGGTTTATTATGATGCGGCTGGCTTGTCGCACTCGAGGAACCAAGTCGGTCACAGGCTTCTGGACACCAGGCTAGGGGAGGGAAGGAGGGAGAGCAGAACGCCAGACTGGATCCAGATGCAAGTCCTGCATTCCGCTTTGCAAGAATACAAACCCTCTGATGCTTCCTCCCTCCGCCCTCCTGCATCCACCTAAGAAAATGCTCAAAAGGCACCCCAACTGAAACTGAAGTCAAGTGGGTTCCTGTGCGATCCTGGGAATTCTCGGTTCCTAACCTTGCCAGAAGAGTTGGGCGAGTTCTGGAATGGGGGCTGGAAACGGGAGACGTCGGGCCTTGTAGAAGTCCCTCCCGTCCCTAGCCCACCTGGTCCAGGCGCGGTGAGTCGCCACGCCGCCGGGACGGCCTCTCCGCAGTGCGGTGGCGGAGAAAGGCTGTCTTCGGGGGAGTCACGGGAGGCCAATTCCTCCTTTTAAAGGGCTGCGATGCACAGCTTTGTTCAGCGCTCACCTGTCCGGCGCGCGGCCGCGACACTCGGCCCTTTCCAGCTGCATCCATCTTTGCTGCGCGCCGGCCTCGGAGCGACTGGCTGCTGACGTCCCAGGACCCAGCGGGCCGGTCCCTGAAAGCCCTCCTACTGCGAGAAAACCCCGGGCTTCTCCGACTGCCCGCTTTCCGGAAGAAGCCGCGCCC